AAACAGGATGTCAAAGGTACAGAAAATAGGTCTGTTCTCAGAAGAGCTGCAGAGCACCCCAGTTTTGGGGCACACAAAAGTTCTCCTGCCACAGACCCCGCAGAGGATGTTCCCCTTCTCTCCTCTGCTTGCACAGGGGTGGTTGGAGATGCCCCCAGGCTGGGAGGAGCTGGGATGCAGCAGCGTGGGCTGAGCATTCACAGGCAGGACTGAACCCTTTCTTCCTCAGAACAACTTTAAATGTGTTTTGGCAAGTAGCAGAGGAGATCTTCCAGGCTGCCCAGCTTCCCCAGCCGTTCCCCCTTGTCCTGTCCCTCCATCCCTTGTCCCAAGTCCCTCTCCAGCTCTCCTGGAGCCCCTTTAGGCCCTGGAAGGGGCTCTCAGGTCTCCCTGGAGCCTTCTCCAGGTGAATACCCCCAGCTCTCCCAGCCTGGCTCCAGAGCAGAGGAGCTCCAGGTCTCAGAGCATTTCCTTGGCCTCCTCTGGACTCATTCCAGCAGCTCCAACCAGGTTTTTCTTGTGCTGGGGGCCCCAGAGCTGGATACAGATAAAGCCAAAATCTTCTTAAATAGGTGGTAACAGAAGAAGTTTCAACCAGGCTCCTCCTAGGCAGGGAGGACATAAAAGATGCATCCCTTTATTTGCCCTTGAATTCCAGGTCCTGGGGTTATATGGATGCTGTACTGCCTGCCAGGGCTTTACATATGGAAGAAGGGAAGCTGTGCCCTTCAGCAGAGTATGGGTACAAAGAGTCCAGCCCGGGGGCAGGATGTGAATATAGATGATATTCAGAGAAGCTCTTGATCTTATCATTTAAGCCTTCCAGCTTGAATTAGGTGAGAGTCCCCCAATGGAAAGCAAAGAGACTTTGAATGCAGACTCACAGCCCTTGTGCCCAGGGGCTCACTGGAGGGACAGCAGCTGCCTCTGAGTCAGTGCCAAATCCAATGTGCCATTATGAGCTGGGAACAGTCATTGATCACAGGGAACAGCAGCTTGGAAGTGACCTTTGCTATGGAGCAGTGTGATGGAGTGGGGTCCCTGGCTGTCATCTCCTGAGGGGATGGAAGCAGGATGGAAATAGGATGGAAATGGGATGGAAATGGATGCTCCTATCCTGCAAACATTGTGCAAAACCCCAAGCTCAGAGCTCTGGGTCTTGTACAATCCCTGCAAGGTGCTGGCTGGGGCCACCCTCCAAGGCACCTCCTGGGACGTGACTTGCAAGCTTTTTCTTTTTTGACTCAAAACAGCATCTCTCTCTGTCCCTCTGAAGCCCTTTGTCTCTCAGTATCTCCTAAACCCAACATTTTTTGAGAATAAATGTCCAAGCAGCTGATTCCCTACAAAATCTAACTGGTCATATTGGGTAGGCTGGCAGCAGTGTTTGCCTAGTTTCTGGCTATGTTGACATTGTCATGACAGGTTGACTTTATAATCATGTTGTGGTCATCAGACAAATGCTCAGTCACATAATGGAACACTCAACATTACATTCCTCATGGTCTTTACAGGAATAACCTCAAAGCAGAAATCTGGGGGTGAGTTGGGGTGGTCCAGCCCCACAATGATGCTGGAGTGACTCAGTGTCCCCCAGAAGGTGATGTCCCTGTCGCTCTGTCTCAGGAGAGAGACTCATCCCAACTCTCTGCCCTGCAGAAATAGGAAGCACTTTGTGGCTGGGCACAGCTTGGGGTCATTTTTCTCCTGCATCAGAGAGGTTCCAAGCAGGAAACAGATTTTTCTGAGTTGCAGGGAGCAGCTTCCAAAAAGAGGAAATCCCAGGGCAAACAGCTCCGTGCTCCCGTGGGTCTGCATCTCATCAGGCTGCACTTTGGCAGTAACCTTAAACAGCACCATCTGCTGATATTAAATATATTAAAACCACTTCGTTTTTTAGCATCTCCACAAGTCTTTGGTGCCCTTGACCTCCCAGCAGCCTCCCGGTGGATCAGAAAGTGTTGCTGAATCGATCAGCGGCGCTGAGCCCTGCCCCTCCTCACGCTGGTTCCGGGGCATTCACATGCTGATGGATTTCTCTACCTGGTAACTGCTCCGACAGGCTTTTCTGAGAAGTTCACTGAATAATTGCAGGTCAGGATGTGTTGATGAGCGTTTCCGTTCTGCGAATTGCTTCTGTACGGGGAGAAAAGCAGCTTGATTAGCAGAGCCTGCAATAATACTCACGGATGGATTTCCCCATTAATAATGGATAGATAAAGTGAAATCTGCCTTCAGGAGGTGTTTCTGCTAGTAATGGTCCTTCGAGGAAGGGATTTAGCCCTGTGGGGTTGTCTGGTTCAGTGTCTAGCCCATGGTGACACTGACTTTTCTCCCAGGTAACAGGCGACAGGACCAGAGAAAACAGCCTCAAATTGTGCCAGGAAAGGTTTAGATTGGATAGTTAGGAAAATTTCTTCGCTGAAAAGGTGGTCAGGCACTGGCACAGGCTCACCAGAGCAGTGATGGGGTCCCCATCCCTGGAAGTGTTCAAAAAACAAGTAGATGTGGCACTTGGTTTAGTGGTGGCCTTGGCACTGCTGAGTTAACAGTTGGACTCGATGACCTTAGAGGGCTTTTCCAACCTAAACAATTCCATGATTCCATGCTGGAGGACCCTGGAAGATGCTCTTCCCTTCCTGAGCACCCCTGCAGCTCTCAAGTTGCCTAAGAGGCACCAACACCTTCAATGCATGAGACCATTCTGGGGTGATTTTCCCAACTCCAGTGATGAACCCTACACCTTTAACACATAAATTTGTCACTTGTGCCTCCTCAGTGTCAGCTGTGTCCCAAACCCACCCTGGCAGAAGAGCAGCTCCTGGAGCACAGAGGGCTGTCCCAGTCCCCTCCCATACTCACAGCTGGCTCTGCAGCACCCCATGGATCAGGATTTGGCCCCAGCTGAACTGCAAGTGCTGCAGTCTTTATGGAGACCCTGTCTGAGGTTCATCAATATGGAGAGGAACAGCTTGTTCCTCATGTCCCCATTCGAAGGACCAGTGAGAAAATCCCACCCAGATGGACCCTCTGCCCTGGTGCTGTTTGGGAGGGTGGTGTCTGGGGGACTGTGATCCCTCCCTCGGGAATTGCACCCACATGCTTCAGCTGTCCTCCAAATCCAGCATCCCTGTGAGATGAGCCCACCCCATGCTCCTGCTGGTATTAGGTGGATTCACATCCAATAGGAACACAGGGATTTCTTTGGGGTGAAGATGTAGGATGTCTGGGTCTGGGAAGAGGGACATGGCTGGAATCATCCTCCACAGGTGCCACAGGATAAAGTCATCATAGAATCATGGAATGGTTTGTGTTGGAAGGGACCTTAAAGCTCACCTCATTCCACCCACCTGCCACGGGCAGGGACACCTTCCACTGTCCCAGGTTGCTCCAAACCCCGTCCAACCTGGCCTTGGACACTTCCAGGGATTCAGGGGCAGCCACAGCTTCTCTGGGCAACCTGTGCCAGGGCCTCCCCACCCTCACAGGGAAGAATTTTTTCGCAATATCCCATCCCTGCTCTGTGTCAGTGGGAAGCCATTCCCCTTTGTCCCCTTCCAGGCCCTTGTCCCAAGTCCATAATCTGCTAATGAGCAAACACCCCAGTGCTGGCTTGTGCTGAAGGAGGTACCTGAGGGCTTGTTTTCCCCCAAAACAGCAAATCATTACCCTGGGCTGCTCCAAAAAGCATTATTTGTCACTTGGAATAATCAGACAATGCTTGCATGGCTGGAGCAACAGATGTGACTCCTCATCCATCTGACTCATGTGTCTGCTCTGAGCCCACTGCAGCAGTTTTGAGGCAAAGAGCATTATTTTTGCAAAATAAATGCATTTTCTGGTGCATTCAGGCAGTTTTGAGGTATGAACGTGGCATTCTGCTGCAGGGCAGGGCCAGCACCAGCGTGCAGAGGTGGAGGGGAGCATGGCTGCACTGGAGGGAAGGTGGGAGCCCAGAGGGGCTGCTGGGATTTGGGGGTCTCCAGAGCAATCTCCCTCACCTGCTCCACTGAGGGAAAACCACCTTCCCCAGCTCTGCCTGTGGTGGTGGGTCAGCAGAGACCCACTCCCTCCCCAGGATGTGACCAGGACCACCAGGCTTGTCCCACAGCTTGTCCCTGCCCTTGAGGTTTCCCTGGATGGATGATGGGACCCATGGGCTGTGCTGGATCCAGTATTGTCCCCAGAGCCTCTTGGTCCCCAGGAGAGCGTGGCCCCAGCAGCCCACCCTGCCTGCACAGGGGCTGCCACTGTGCCAGCACCTCACAACACCCAGCTCGGGGAACAGCTAGAGGGGCACCAAGTCTGGAAGGTGAAGGACCCTGTGACTCTCCCTGGGGCTGCATGATGGGGAGGACAGGGCTCTGGGCGAGACTGGAGGAGTCCGGACCCTTGGGCTGATCCCTGTGACCCATCGTTGGAGGGCTGGACCCCCATCCCTGTCCCCATGTCATGCAAATAGGAACCCTCAGCTAGGTTGGACCTGGACCCCCATCCCTGTTCTCCTGTCATTCTGTGGGGACTCGGGATGGGGCTGGACCTGGATCCCTGTCCCCGTTCCTGTGCGATGCACGGGGGGCTCCGTGGGTCGGTGCCGGAGCTCCGTAGGCGCGGGGGCAGCGGCACCGGGACCCCGCGGATCCCCTCGGGGCGGCCCGAGCCCCCGGGGGCGGTGCCGCCCCCAAACTCCCCCCTAAACCCCCCGAAGCCCCCCCCGAAACTCCCCCTCCGGTCGGGGCACGGCGCTGGCAGGAGGTGGCTCCGCCGCAGACACCGCTCGGTCGCCGCCGCGTTCACCTCGCGGAGCGGGGTCTGCTCGTAACACCGGGAACACCGGGAATACCGGGAACACTGGGAACAACGGGAACGCTGGGGCTGCAGGGCTGCCAGAAACACCGGGAACGTCGGGAATACCGGGAACACTGGGAACAACGGGAACACTGGCGTTGCAGGGCTGCCAGAAACACCGGGAACACCGGTGCTGTCGGTAATACCGGGAACACCGTACCAGCTGCCGGTAATCCTGGGAATACCGTGACACCGGGACTGCCCGGGCTGCCGGTACCGCGGAGTCGGGTAAGCGGGCGGAGGAAGCGGCGCAGCCCCGGCGGAGCATCGGGACCCGCATCGGGACCCCCGCAGACACCGAGCGGGACCTGATGGGGATCCTCAGGGGGACACAGACCGGCGGGGCCGTGCTGGAAGCGGGGCCCGGGCTGGGGTCGTCCAGCCTGAAGCGATGGGGAGGACCGGGGAGCCCCGGGGGGGACTGTGCTCCTCCTGCCCCCGAACCCCCCGGCTGGGTTGCGAGGGGTCTCTGCGAGCAGGATCGGGGCGGGAGGGGATGAGGAGCAGCTGGTTTGGGCCGTCCCATCCTCTGGCCGGCAGCGGGGCAAGGGTGTCCCGGGGAACCCCTGGAGAGGACTCCCTGCCTCCTGGCCCTGGAGCCATGGCCCCTTCCCGGGTCTCCCAGTGCCACCTGCTGGGGTGGCAGCGGTGGCACTGGGGCTGTCACGGTGGCTTTTGCTCCCCTGCGGTTTCACCGTCGCAGCCCGGGGCCGGCAGTGATGGGTAGAAGCTGGCAAGGCTCATCCAAGAGGTGTGATCCAGTTACAGCCCGGCTACTCTGCCTGGCACTCCCCGAGGCTTTGTCTCCAGTAGGGAAGTGATCCGGGGCTGTGGCAGCCCAGGACATGCCCAGGATCTTCTCTGCTGCCTGAGGAGAAGCACATCTCCTCCTCCACACTGGTGTGGGTGGCCGGCAGAGCCGAGCCATGCTCATTCCTCCACCTCTCCCCCAGGATCCGGGTCCCCAGCTCAGCCTGAGATGCACCTCGGCACTGGGAGCACTGGTTGCAGGCTGGTGGGAGCAGCCATGAGGGACATGCTTGGATCTGGATGCCTTGGGAGCCTTGTCCAACTCGCCTGGATGTGCCTGTTCTCCGTGCCGGTGAGGGCCGAGCTGGGGCCATGGGGCAGCAGGGTTGGCACTGCCAGCCTCTGACCCACGGCCAGCAGGCTCCGTCCTGGCTCCGTCCTGTGTCCCTGCCCATCCCGAGGATGCAGCACACAGTAGTTTGCCAGGGGGATGCAGGTGGTGGGGCAGGAGGCTCTGACTCAGCTCTGGACTTGCAGCACGGTGGGGCCAAGGTGCTGGAGAAGACCTTTGAGGAGTGGCTGCGGTACCGTGACGAGTGTCTGAGGAGGATGGCGAGCGAGCCCTACCCCGCAGGTACCCAGCCATGCCCAGCTCAGCATCAGACACAGGGGACACAGAGCCAGGGCTGGGCTTTATCCCTCCTCTAGCATCCTCTGTGCTGGTCACCCTCATGAGCAGGAGGACTGACAAGGATCTCCATATCTCAGATGGGATGCCCAGGGCTGGAATGCCCAGGGGAGTCCAAGGCTGGTGTGGGGTACCACGGCCCCTTCAGGGTGACACCAGCCCCCTCAGAGGTGCTGGGATGGCAGGGCTGGATGTGGCCGTGCCGGCAGCATGTGACAATCAGCTTTTTCCCCCTCACTGCCATTGCAAGGGCTGTTCTGCAACCGGACATTCGACATGTATGCCTGCTGGCCCGACGGGAGCCCTGGCACCGCTGTGAACGTCTCCTGCCCCTTCTACCTGCCCTGGTTTGAGAAAGGTGAGGATCCCCTTCTGCCATCCCACCGCTGGGAGCCAGAGCGGAGCCGTGCTGGGGGGGAGAGGCTCTCAGGGTTCCCCTCCTGCCTGATGATGGGGGGAGAGAGACCCACAAGCACACCTGGAGTAAGGGGACACTTGGGGCACAGAGCACAGCCAGCTTATGCCCTGCTCATGCCTGCCCTGGAAGAGGGTCTTTGGGGCTGAGCAGGGTCTGACCTACCATCCCAGGAGAGGGGTTTGGGGGAGCCCAAGGGGAACGTGCTGGTGCTTTGTGTCCGCAGTGAAACACGGGCTGGTGAGTCGCCGGTGCGGTGCCGACGGGCAGTGGGTGATGGTGAATGGCAGCCAGCCCTGGAGGGACTACTCACAGTGCGAGGAGGAGATGGAGGTCACCGCTGAGGAGGTGGGACCCTGGCCCAGGCACTGGGCAGAGATGGACAGGGCACCCTGGCCAGGGAGGGACAGGCACCCCAACCACTCGGCAGGTGCTGCCCACCCGGCTCAGGGTGCCGTGCTCCCTGCAGGAGGGTGCCCGCAGGCTGATGGTGAGCTTCAAGGTGCTCTACACCGTGGGGTACTCGCTGTCACTCCTCACCCTCATCTCTGCCCTGCTCGTCCTCACCGTCTTCAGGTGGGAGAGCTGGGGGGACATGGCCCTGGTCCCTGTCAGCTGGTGACAGCTGAGCCCAGAGGTGCCCTGCCTGACCCCTGGCACTCGGCAGGAACCTCCGCTGCACCAGGAATTACATCCATGCCAACCTTTTCGCCTCCTTTGGCCTGCGGGCGACCTCGGTGATGGTGAAGGACGCGCTGCTGGAGCGGCGCTGGGGCGTGGAGCTGCTGCAGGTGGCTGACTGGGAGAACCTGCTGAGCCACGAGGCAAGTGCTGCCCCGGGGGGACCCCGATCAATGCTGGGCTGGAGGTGGGGTGGGGATCCTGTCCCCGGGGAGGGGGGAGCAGGGGGTGTCAGTGTCTGTGCAGCCCTGTGTTGGTGGGTGAGCCCTTGGGGTGCTGGTGCTGCCCATGCACCCGGTGATGGTCTTGGGGTACCTGTGTGTGTGGGTAGGCAAGTTCTTGGGTGCTCATACACCCAGTGGACAGGCTTCTGGGGGGCCTGTGCTGCCCATGCCCCCATGGGTACCCCTTGGGGTACCTGTGCACCTGATGAGAGAGCTCTGGGCCTGTGCAGCACCCTGCTCCTGAGGGATGAGCTCTTGAGGTGACTGTGCACCCAGTGGCTGAGCTCTCAGAGAGCTTGGGGTGCCTGTGCAGCACCTGAGGGAGGAGCTCTCAGGGTGCCCATACAGCCTCTGGGTGAGCTCAGGGCACCTGTGCTCCCGTGGGTGAGCTCTTGGGGTGTCTGTGTAAGACCATACACCTGATGGATGAGATTCTGAGGTGCTCACACACCCTCCGGGTGAGCCCAAGGGCACCTGTGCCCGTGTGGGTGAGCACCTGGGGTGCCTGTGTAACACTGTACACCTGATGGAAAACATTTTGGGGTGCCTGTGCATTCCATGGGGGAGCTCTCGGGGTGCCCGTGGTGCCGTGGGTGGGCACCCAGCCAGCCCCACGGGGGCTCTCCTGTGGCAGGCTGCGCTGGGGTGCCGGGTGGCGCAGGTGCTGATGCAGTACTGCATCCTGGCCAACCACTACTGGTTCCTGGTGGAAGCCATCTACCTCTACAAGCTGCTCATCGGGGCCGTGTTCTCCGAGAAGAATTACTACAGGCTCTACCTCTACCTGGGCTGGGGTAGGGGCCACCTGGGTGTGCGGGGGGGAGGGCACAGTACCCAGTGCTGGGGGGCACCACGGTCCAAACCAGCCCCGGGAGGGTGTGGGGTGGGGGCCCTGCTGACCCTGGGTGTCCCCACGGTGCCCCTGCCCTGGGACTGGTTTCTAATCTCAGGAGGGTGCTTGGTTTTACAGGGTTTGCTGTGTGACTTGCAGGGACCCCCGTGGTGTTCGTGGTGCCCTGGATGGCTGCCAAGTACTTGAAGGAGAATGCAGAGTGAGTGAGGATGGGTGGGGGTTCCTCGGGGATGCTCAGCCCCAGGCTGGGACTGGACAGAGGCTGCTCAAGGTCCCTGAGCCACCTGGCCGGGGCTGGAAAGCTCTTGGCCTCATCCTGCACCCCTGGCACGGGCTGATGGTGCTGCTCTCCGTGTCTCCCTGGGCAGGTGCTGGGCACTGAATGAGAACATGGCTTACTGGTGGATCATCCGCATCCCCATCCTGCTTGCCTCCCTGGTAGGGGACACCTGCTACCCCTGTGCCTTTTTGGACAACAGCAGCTCAGCCCCTGGCTCCCAGCCCTGGGCAGGGCTGTGATCCCTTGGGGAAGCTCCCAGCAGAGTGCAGGAAGGTGGATTGGCCTCCAAGGATCAGGGAAATGGACACGGGGTTGATTTTTTACCAGCAAATTGCCAACCCCCAGGCTCTGTGCAGGAAGGAGAGTGTTTAACTCCAGAGAAAGGGACTGAGGGTGGTCCCTGATGCTTCCTGGTCAGGATTTTGGGATGGCAGGAAGGGAGGAAGGGCAGCAGCAGCCTTGGCAGCACAGGATGTGCCATCTGCTGCAGGCCCTGAGGGTGCATATCATGGCCAGGGTGGGCTGTGAGGGGTGGGGGTGCTGGGCTCTGTGTGCCCCTGCACTGTCTCCCCCTCCCCAGATCAACCTGCTCATTTTCATGCGGATCCTCAAGGTGATCCTGGCCAAGCTCCGAGCCAACCAGAAGGGCTACGCTGACTACAAGCTGCGGTGAGCTGGGAAGGAGGGAGGGGGTGGCCACTCTGGCTCATCCCTGGGCCCGGGATAACACCACATCCACCTCCCCCTCCCCCTCCATCCCCACCCTGCTCCTCCACCCTTCACGTCCTTAAATGACCACCCTGACTTTATCTAGAAGATTTAGGATCCCTTTACACTCTTCCAGGCTGGCCAAAGCCACCCTCACCCTCATCCCTCTCTTCGGTATCCATGAGGTTGTCTTCATCTTCGCCACCGACGAGCAAACCACGGGCATCCTGCGCTACATCAAGGTGTTCTTCACCCTCTTCCTCAACTCCTTCCAGGTGAGGCACGAGTGTGACACGTCCTTGCTCTGAGCACATAATGGAGCAAGAACTGGGGGGGCCTCTTCCAGCTTGCTCTCCCCGTGGTGTCTCCATGGGGTGGGGGACCCCATCTCTCTCACCCTCTGCCCCGGTGCCTCCTGTGCTCTCTGGGGCAGCGGTGGCAGAGGGACCTCAGCCCTAAAAGCACCCAGAAATGGTCTGGGGGGAGTCTAAGCTCACCCCAGCCCCAGGAGAGGGATGGCAGTGGGGTCTCACTCCCTGCTCTCCCTGCAGGGTTTCCTGGTGGCCGTGCTGTACTGCTTTGCCAACAAGGAGGTACGTACCTGCCACAGCGTCTCCCTCCCGCCTTTCCCATCCCATCCTCTGCCTGCGGGGAGGGCGTGGCCAGGGACGAGCCCCCCTTCTCCCCTCCGTGTCAGGTGAAGTCTGAGATGAAGAAGAAGTGGCAGCTCTGGAAGCTCGACTACCCAGTGCTCTGCTGTGCCCAGTGATGCAGTGACTGCCCGCAGAGCCAGGGCACAGGGGCTGCTGTTCACAACGGGCACGAGGGCCCAGCTGGAGGGTGGGGGATTGTGGGGAGCTGTGCTGGGCAGTGCCCACCTGGGACGTCCAGGCTGGGACCAGCGTTTGGCTGTGCCACACTGGAGCTGCTGGAAGGGACATCCCCCCACTGTGGTCCAAGGGGGAGATGGGCACCCCAGACATTGCCAGGCATCGTTGCCTCCTTGGGGGCCTCACCTTGCCTGGGCTTGGGGGCTGCGTGGGCAGCAGGAACTGCTTCCTACCACCACCTGTGCACCATCAGCAACCCCTGCCAGCACCCACCAGCCGTGTGCAGGGGAACCCCCTGCCCACCCACACTGCCCAGGCACATGTGGGAGGGGATCACGGCAGCTGGAGGGAGCCTGACCCTCAGCAGTGGGAATGGGAGACTTTATTCAGCCTGGCACTGCTGCATGGACCTGCTGCCCCTCTGCCCAAACCCTCCTGTGGCACCAACACGTCAGGACAGGCATCCCTGTCCTCCCCTCCTTGTCCTACCCAAGGATCATCTCACCAATCCCGACAGCTCCCAGACATCCACAGTCATCTTGTGAAGCTCTTCACAGTGAGGTGCAGCTTCTGCACCTTCTCTCCATCCTCATCACGGACACAGAACGTGGCTCCAGCACCCACCTCCTTCTCGCTGCTCTTCAGCTGCACACACTGCTTGGTTCCTCCTCTCCAAGCCCCTTCTGCTGTGGGCAGAGCCAAGGATGGAGCCTCAAAGTCACAAGGGAGTGAAGGATGTGAGAGTAGCAGCTTGCGGGAGCTGGAGCCAAGTCCAACCTTCTGCATCCCAGGTCCAGCATCCAGCCCAACCACCCCCTCCTCTGCTGGGGGAGAGCTGGGCAGGCCCAGACAGGAGCCACGCTCTGTTTTGGTGGCAAAAGGCTGACTCAGGGAGTTCACTTTCCTGTGAGGTGCCAAAGCATCAGCCCACCCTCTCCAAGCAGCCTGTGAAGCCCAGGAAGCTCAGGAGCACTGACACCTCTGCCTTGGCAAGGGAGGCATCTGAGGCAGAGTGATTTGAGTGGGGCTGCACGTGCCTGGCTTCCAGCTCCTGTCCTGGTCCTGTGTTCTCCTGGAAGAGCCAGGAGCAGCCACAGTCACCACCATCACCTTGGGTCCTTGCTGTTACCCTCAGGAGCAGGACAGACATGCTCCCGAGTACTTGTTCCTAACCAGGTTCCTTCCTTTCTCTTGCAAAAAAGGCCCCTCCAGGCTGGAGGAAGCAGCTGGGACTCTCCAGCACATGCACATGGACACAGAAGGTTCTCCAGCTCCTGCCCCTTCCCTGACAGGCTGGGGGAGTCTCACAGAGAGGCTGTCTCAAGCACACCAACAAAAGAGGCTGTGCCATGCTGGAGTCACACAGGAGTTGTCCTGGATTGATGTAGCCCCCATGAGACCATTTTACACATTAACTCTCTTTTCAGATGTAAATAAATGTTTATTTTTCAGCAAGCAGAGCCTGCTGCTTCTGTCTGCTCTGAGGGAGGGAGGGACACAGCTCTTGGGCACCCGGAGCTGAATCCCAGAATGGTTTGGGTTGGAAGGGACTTTAAAGACCATCTCCTTCCACCCCTGCCATGGGCATGGACACCTTACACTAGCCCAGGTTGCTCCAAGCCCCGTCCAACCTGGCCTTGAACACTCTCAGGGATGGGGCAGCCACAGTTTCTCTGGGCAACCTGTGCCAGGGCCTCACCACCCTCACAGGGAAGAATCTCTTCCCAATATCCCATCTAACCCTGCCCTCTGGCAGTGGGAAGCCATTCCCCCTTGTCCTGTCCCTCCAGACCCTTGTCCCAAGTCCCTCTCCAGCTCTCCTGGAGCCCCTTTAGGCACTGGAAGGGGCTCTCAGGTCTCCCTGGAGCCTTCTCCAGGTGAACACCCCCAGCTCTCCCAGCCTGGCTCCAGAGCAGAGGAGCTCCAGGTCTCAGAGCATTTCCATGGCCTCCTCTGGACTCACTCCAGCAGCTCCACAGGTACTGATTTGCTGCTCTTTGGTGGGTGCTTTGGGGTCCCAAGGGATTCCCACATCCCCCACCCAGGTAGTGCTGCAAGGATGGCACCTCTGAGAGGAGCCAGGGCAGGGCTGGGAAGCCAGGGATGAGGCATTCCCAGTCCCTTGAGCCTGCAACCACCTGGGAGAGGAAGCTGGAAAGACTGTATGTATTACCCACTGCCCCAAATAAATCAGGAAACTAATTCATGATTCCACAGTCCAGCACCCTCCAGAGAAACCCACACACCACAAATAGGTTCTCAGTTTTTATTCTTTTATCCCAAGATAGCAATTACTATTTTCCTCAGACAGCTTGCCTTAGGGTAGCACCAGGCTCCCTGCTGCCTGCACAGCCACCCTGGCAGCAAGGAATGCTGGTTAACATCCTCTTTAAGGAATTGCCTCCTCAGGGAAACACTGTTCTAGAAAATTCCCACCCCAGTGTCCCCTTTTCTGCTTTCACACCCCTTGAAGCCTTTACCCCTGGGCTCCTGCAGCACCTTTTCTGGGGCCTCTCCTTTTCCTTCACTCACACACTGCCCCATCTTTCCCCTTTCCCCAGGCTCCCAAGCACTACAATCTATTGGATGGACCATCTTACCCCCTCCAAACCCATGTTTTGCACTCTTAAGACTGAGCAAAGCCCGACCTAAATCTGTGTAGCCTCCTTCCAGCCGCGTCCTGCAAAGCCCACCCAGTTCTAAGGCACTGCTGAATCAGAGCTTCCCTTGCTCTCCAGGTGCTCCCAGGCCCTTTCCCTGAGTTTTTTGAGGTGGTTTTGCCTTAAATTCAAGGGACACAGTATTGATAAACCTGCATAATGCAGCTAGAGGCACTGCCAAGGCTAAGGAGGCCCCATTCCTCCACTGACAGGGAATGAGAGACAAAGCACAGAATACTCTTCCCAGCACAACCTCCAGAAATTCTGAGGAATTTCCAGAGATGTTACCTTAGGAGAATTAGCTCCACCTCATCAAAATTCTTCAGGATGAAGCTCCTGCAGCCTTGTCCTGCAGCTGGCACTGGGTGCCATGTGCACTATGGCATTTGCTAAAAATGACAAAATAGCGTGTTGTGATGAATTTAAGAGTTAAATGTGAGCAGAAAGCAGCACCCCCAGCACACAGGAGCTGTCAGTGGGGCAGGGGCACAGCAGAGAGGGCCACACCTGCCTGGTTTGGGACAGTGGGTGCCCCAAGGCTGTCCCAGGAGGCAGAGACCCCCCAGTCAGAGCAGATGTCCTTGTTACACAGGCAGACCAGCTCTCAACCCTGCCTAAGGGGACTCCTCAGGCAGCTCATCAGAAGGGGTGACCAGCTCAAAGGATGGAGCCAGAATGGATTTTTGTATTTTGGTATTATTTTTGGACCAAGGTCCAAAAATCAGAGGAACAGTTTCATCCTCTTCCCCAAGAGACTTTTCTCAACTCATCAAGGCCATCACTCACAGACCTCGGGTTTTCATTGTTGGTTTTCCCCCCCTCAAAAGACTCGGTAATAAATGGGAACAGAGTTGCTGGAAACCATTTTACACCAAAGTCCCTGTCACCAGAGCCCCTGTGGTCACTCTCAGCTCCCACAGGAGGGACCTCTTCCTGCACTGCCTGTCCTTTGAAAATGCCCTGCCAGAACTATTTCAATGAAAGGCAGGCAGTGGTGAGGACCAAAGCTTTGCAGCACAGCTCCATCTGGGATGTGGTTTCTTGTGCCCATCTCCCATGGGGGACAGAGCCATCCCTCAGTTCCTGCTCTGCTGCCCTGGCATTCTGCTGCTTGCCACAGGCATGGGAAGCTCAACAGTCCTGAGCTCTTCCTTCTCCCTCATGCACTTCCAGGGGAACATCTGCCTTGCAGCCACTGCCAGCGCTGGGATCTTGGCATGGGCAAACCAGACCAACAGCCTCTGCTGCAAAGTGGCTACAAAGCATTTACCACAAAAACAGGCTTTTGGGGATGGAATAACCAGGACAGGGTTAATTTTTAGAGTAGCCAGGAGGGGCATGACCAGGACCAGGAAGTTATTCTGTACTACCTCCTGCCACACAGAGGGGCTGGGGGAAAGGGGTGCCTTTTAGTCAGGGGGGTAAGAATTGTTCACCTCTCTTGTACCATCTGTTGTTAATATTGTTGCTGTTACTATTTGTTTTCTTATCTCATTGCTGTTCCCAGTAAATTGTTCTTATCTAAACTCTTGATCTGTACCCTTTGTGCCTCCAATTCTCTTCTGCAGCACACCACAGGGGGAGGGAATGAGCATGGTTGGGAGTGTTTCAGGGGGAGCAGGAAATTGGGGAATTCCATTCCTAAACTACAACATGTGATCCCAAACAACCCCTGAGGAGGGCAAGAATCTGAAGAGAACCAGGGTGGGCTGGCTGAAGGAAGAGGTTTTGAAGCCCAGATCTGGGATGGCAGTAGAGCAGACTTTCCAACTAGGAACAGAGCTTCACTGCAGCTCAAAGAGCCAAACTTTACAAACTTCACCCCTCCACAACAACCTGTCTTCCTTATGGCCTCAGATACATCCTCTGTGCCAATCCACGTGGCACAGGAGGAGCCAAGGACACGTTTCAGAGACGGTGAGGAGGTTGGGATGCATAAAAGGATAATTAATTGATTGCTGTGTGTAACTGCCAACTTTCTAACACCACACAGACCTGAACAACAAGGGCTGCACGAATCTTAAGGCAGGTAAAATCTCTGAGCTCAGAGCTTCTCCTCCTAACCCAAACCTTCCGGCGTGATCAAGGATCCTGGGAACCCAGGCAGCACTCAGGCCCAGGATGCTGCTGGCTGTCGTCTTCTGCTGCCCCTTGTCCTCCCACGTGTGTTCTCTGGTGGCCCAGCCCTCCTGCCAGGCCCCCTGGCTGTGGTGGTGCCCGGCAGAGCCGCGGTGCTGGCACAGCTCCCACGCTCCTTCAGCTTCCGGGTGGAACAGTCACCCGACGTCGGTGTTCCTGCGGCCACCGGGAAAGAGAGGACAGTCACCCCTTGGTGGGACGGAGAGACAAGGGGACTAAGGGTTTTCCAAAGGGAAAACCAACCAGAGGGCACGTAAGGACTAGTTAGAGCCCAGCCCTGGTGTGTGTGCACTGGTTGGGACTGGCAGCGACGGGTGATGCCCCTCAGTGCCACAGCCTGTCCCTGTGGATGGCTGGCAGTAATTCCCACTCACCCTCCTGCTTTGTTATGGCTCCAGCCAGCTCGGCTCGCTCTGCCCCGGGGCTTGGAGCCTTTGGAGGTTTTGAGTCACAGTCTGCAGAGCTTTTCCTGAGGACAAACCAAAGGGAAAAATCAGTGTTAGGAACAGGGCAGGGAACAGGGAAAAACAGGCTGCACTCAGCCACTGTTGTGCTGTCTTCCTGCTGCCTGCTCCCCTGCAGCTTCCAGCATCCCAAAAACAGAGTGTCTCTCTGTCTGTAGCTGAGACAAGTTCCTGTCATCAGGAGAACAGGACACAGGCTTTGGGAACCACTTCCCAAGCAGCTCTGACCACTGAGCAGGAGATGCAGGAGCCATCTCTCAGCCTGGGCCTCTCAGCAAAGGATGAGGCAGAGCCCCAGATCTGCAGTGAGAAGCGCAAGAAAATGCCTGCACCAACTTCAGAGCCTGGAGCCTTCCCTGAATGAGGAGGGATTGCTGGGTCCCTCTCAATTACCATTCCAAGCCATCAGAAACCCAGC